GTGCAAGTTGAGGCCAGTTTTTGCTTGTGTGGTGTTTGTGGTCCTTTGAGTGAGTCTGTAGCACGAACCAAGAAAGGCCATTTGTACAGAGCAGGTGGAAGCAACTCAGGCCTGGTGTGCAAGTTGGGTGAGGCAGGGCCTCAAAGAATCACCAACCAGGGCAACTAGTGTTAACTGTTAATGGAGAGCACAAATTTGGCACCTGCTTAAACTAGGCCAGCTGGGTGGAAGGAGAGCTCAACAGAGGAACAATGGCGCCTGCCAGTACTTCCATCCCTGGGGAAAGTTCTTTCGACTCCTTGTCCTCAAGCCCTCACCTTGAAGTTAATCATTTTAGTTCCTCCCCACATGCCCCTGGTGCTTCTCAAGCTACTGTCCCTGTGCTGGACCCAAGTGTTTTTGCACCCACCCCTTAAGAACAGCGCCTCCCATCTCCCGCAGCCCCTTGTTTCTCTGGAACACAGTCCCCAGTGGTTTTCATAGCCAGATGTGGAGACTCTTCTTCCTGGCAGGGGAGCCTGGTGTGGGGCTGTGACCCTTTGCTCCTCTGGAGGCACTTCCGAAGATGAAGTATTACTCCTGATTCTTAATTGCCACCCTGTGGGTGTGGGAACTGCCTATTCCACATCTCCACCCTCCTACCAGTCTTGATGTGGCTTCTTTATATCCTTGGTTATAGGAATTCTGTTCAGCTAGTCTTCTGGTGGTTCTCAGTGATGGCTGTTCTATAATTTGTTATAATTTTGATGTGGTCATGGGAGGAGGCAAACTCGAGTTTACTTTGCCACCTTGACTCTGCCCTATGTTTCCTATTATCATTTATTCACCCTAGAATATGAATATAAAGTGCCCCCCAACCCCATCTCCGCCAATGTTCCTGAAGATGATTAAGATTATCCCAAGCTAGATTTAAGATAAATTTGGGGCAGCCGAGTCACAATAGAATAAGCAAGGGTCTACTAATCTTGGCTGCCATTTACTGTGTGCAATGGGCAAGTCCCTTCATTCTTCTAGGCCTCCATCTCAAGCACAGAGTGCACTGTCGAGATTAAAGAAATGTTACTGTACCTATTTATAACAGTACCTGGGGAAGCGTACTTTTTAAAATAATCAACCTGTGGCTCATATGAAATGTTCAAAAAAATATTTATTTATAAAAAATGCAATGGGATAAGTTTATGCTGAGAAATGCAGCAATAAATACAGTTGAAGAAAACAGAGCAACTCTACATTGATACATTGGCACAAACAAGAATAACACACGCACCACCCAGACCTACGTGTCTGCAGGCTGATTTTGTACACGCTCCTTTAAAAACACCACTCTGAAAAGGTATTGTCAGCTCAGGTGAGAGAATGAGTACACATATAATCACAAATGCACACAGATCATGACTTTATTTAAAAATTAGCAAACAGTACTATAGAAACATCGATATGTAAATTTCTAAAAAAAAAAAAAAATGCTGCATCTTAAATTTAGTTGGCAAACACCCCTTTAGCTATAAGCATGAGTTTAGTCTTCCACATAGAAACCAGACACTAAACTGTGAAACAATAAAAGCTTCCTATTGTTTGAAAACACCAATTTAAGTAGAAGATTGTAAAAATGCATAGATCTGTACTAAAAGAATTGGCTGTACAGGAGTACTCCCCTTTCACAGTATTCCTTTTTACTTCATATGTGAGTTACTGGTTATGCTGTAGGATTCAACTGTTACAGCACTAAAAGGCAACTATTTAGGGAAGAGGCAGAAAAAGGAATGTATGTAAGGCAATATTTCTTTTAGGTACAATAAGCATAATAGTGTTTTAGGAAGACAAGATAAAAATTACTCAAGGCTAGCTTGGTTCTCACTGAATAAAAATAATGGGCTAAATACTGAGCTCCTCTCTGTGAATCTAATAATCAATGCCTTGGTCACCATACTGGTAATCTCCAGGGTAGTCATCTTGGTACTCGCCATGATACTCATCTGGGTATTCTGCCTGATAATCGCTATCACTGATTTCCGACCCATTTGTTCCTGTTCCTTGGCTTCCATTATGAATGACAGGTTCTGTTGGAGCAGCGCAGTATTTGGGATCATATACTTGCCGCCCAAGCCCATACACACTCATTCCTTTCTGGGAAGCGACTTTGTTGGTACCCATCTGTAGAGAAATTGTTGAGTTGTCCACTGGTTGCAAGGTTAGCTTCTGATCGTAGATGTCTCTCCTGGTACCTGGCGCTAGCATCCCCGCCTAGAATCAGAGCATAGTATAAAAGTTAAAACAGCAGCTAAAATCTATTCTTGTGAATATTTTCTAAACGGTGAAATTACATTGAATGTGAACACTGATACAATAACTTTCCTTTGGTTCAGGGGTAAAGCTAGCTTACCAAAATACCCTGATGGCGAATCTCTTTTATGAAAGTAATATTCATTGGCTTTAGAACTAGGTCACCCTGACTTCAAATCCTTGTTCTGCTATAAAACTGCTTGCTAAGTGCCTCAAGCAACTTACTTTTAGTTTTAGGTTTCTCATAGACAAAAATGGAGACAATATTACCTTGGATTTAGAAGATTAGACATAAAGAATGTAAAAACAAAGCATCATGCTGGCAAACCTGAAAGTTACATTTGAGTGTCTATTATGACGATACACACGAGCTGGGTGACCAATTTCAAAAGGCTCTGAGACACAGAAGAGCCATGTCTTCAGAACAACCACTCCTCTCCTTTTCAGAGTAAACTCACACTTCATATTTCTCCATTAATGCCAGGCACATGCTTCCAGATTTAAAGTCCATAAGAAAGCAAACCTGGTGGCAGCTATGAGAGATACCATGCCACATGAGGCAGGACATGTCCCATAAAGGAAGAATACCACCAAATCTCCTCTTGGGGTCATTAAGCAAAAGCACACTCTGGTTGGCTGTGAGACCTTTCTGTTCACCGATGGTTCTGGGAACCTCTCGATGAGGTGCTGGTGGTCTGTGAACAAGAAGACACTTCCATCTTGCGTGGCGTTGGAATCCTGCCGTTCTCACGGCGCTGCACGTCCACCTGCTGCACCTCCATCCGCACTTAACAAGCATGGCAGCTACAGCATTCTTAGTAGAACACCAGATAATTTTACCTACCAAGTTAAGTAAGGGCTCCTTTAAAAATAAAAGTCAGAAGCACTGGAATGAACAATTTACTTGGATTTGAAGCAAGAACACTGTAATAAACATTGTTTGCCTCTGGTTAGGTAGACAGGCCAGCTGTTCTAACTGCCAACAAGAGCCATGAGCGACACAATACTTGTGTTGCTACAGAAAAGGTCTTTCATTCTTTTGCCTTCTCAGCAAAACCTCCTTTCTTGAAGGAATATACTCTAAATATACCATACAAAAATACCTACTTTGAATTTATTAGTAAGAATAAGGTAAATGCTCATTGAAATAGCCCTTTTGTACATTTTGCTACAAGTATAAAAAGGACTACTTACCTGGCTGGCTCCTTTGTTGGTTCCCATCTGCAGACTAATCGTGGTCTGGTCAAAAGGTTTGTCAGTTTGCATTTTGGGATCATAAAGATGCCTCCTGGTCCCATAGGCTGTCATACCTGCCTGGCTGGCACATTTGTTGGTTCCCATCTTTTAAGTTAAAAAATAAAATTAGCACTAATTACTAGACGTTAACAACATATACAACACAGAGGAAACTCTGTTCTACTCAAAAGATGGAAGGGGCAAAATTAAGTCCCTTCCTGTGCCAAGACTGTGGACAACTAGATACAAAGGATCCTTCATGCTTTTTCCCAAAGTTCAAGGTGCGCCTTTAAAAAGAATTTCAAACAATTCACTGGATATTAAAACCTCATAACATGATTAACTATATAAAAACATGCACACAAGGAATGGACAGATCACAAGAAGTTATTACATTGGCTGAATTATGAATACATGTCCTCTGCTATTCTTCCCCTCTAACTCTCCATAGCACAGACAACCAAATTAAGGGGTACCCCCTGCTTCAGCCGTTTAAAGGGACAGAAGCAACCTTTGGCTAGGCAATATGCTTTTCTGCTCCAGGTATGTGTTGCATAAAATATGGTAGCAAATGCCAGGTGTCTTCTTTGGCAACTTAATAGGGGTTCTTTAAGCTTCATCAAAATCACCCACATTTTCATGGGAAAAGAACCATGTTTTATTCCTCCAACTCTCATGTCACTGCACAGAATCAGAGGCAAAATGAGGGACGTGACCTCAACCAAGCTCAGAGGACCAATATTTAACTTCCCATCCCCACTGGGGATAATACAGCTCCAGGACCAACCACTCAGTATGCCTTGTTTTACGAGCTGGGGACATTTCTATTGTTGGTTTTTTCCTTAAAAAAATTAAAGGAAAAATTTCTTACTAAAAGTGAAACCTGTTCATTGGAGAAGGTTCAGAAAACATCTATAAGCAAAAAAGCGGGGGAATCATTGCAATCCTACCATCCAGATATTCGCTGTATTTGTGTGTATCCTCCTAGTTTTGCCTTATGTGTCTGTGTATATATCTATAAATACACATTTACATAAAAAATATGTGCATCTTTTAAATAAAGTTGTGATAACACTAACCATAGTATTTCATTACCTGATTTGTTTTCCTTAATATCGGAATTCTTGCGTATCATTTTTACATTACTAGTTCTTTTTACAGAGTTACAATTTAACCAACTGACTGCTATTTGGAAATTCAGGTTTCTTACCACTGATACAACTTTGTACTGTATGAAAATAAATCCACCTCACATAGACTCAGTCAAGAGGGGCACTATATTAAGCAGGTGTCAGAAAGTAAAGCCCATAGCAAACTGGACATTTAGCCATGGTGTTTTTGTGACACTCTCCAGAGGAACAACGTGAACGGGAAAAAAAAAAATATGTGAACTGAGTATTTCCGGGGAATTAAATGGACAAATTCTCATAGCGCTTGTACAGTGCTTTCCTAATAAATGACTTTGGAATTGAGGATTTGTAAAATTGCCTTGTTGAGTCAATAATGTTTAGGAATTTCTTATTTTCTTAAAAAATAAATCAATGTAAGTAGGAGGGAAAATCATTTCCTGGAGAAACAACTGTCAAGTGAGATGGTATGCCCAGAGTTTCTCCTAAACCATCATCATGTCTTGGGCTCTACATGGGCACAAACTGTTTGAACCACACATTCACCCCAAGACCTACGTTATGGTCTATCAATTCTTTACTTATGAGAGATACTTTGCATGATGAGGACTTATACAGAATAACTGATTAAGTAATGCCACACTACTTACCTGCAAACCAATTACACTTTGGCCAGCTTTTAATTTTCCTTCATCAAAACGTCTTGTTTGTTTTTCTGCATACTTAACTCCAATGTCAATGGTTGTATGGAAGCCTTTTGTTTTAGCCTAGACAGAAATATGCACACTTACTGAGAATAAACACAAATGAAAATTCTGCCAGAAGAGATTTATGGAAAGAACAACAAAGAAATGATACGGTCCATGGATGAAGACTTCATGAAGTACCACCCAAATTAGGGGTGAAAAACCTATTTAAGGCCATTCAGTAATACACTGTACCTCTAAAATGTGAGTGTTCTAATTAAGCTATCTTATATGAAGGAACTGATGTCAGCTGCCTTTCCACAAAGCTAATAATTATGAAAGGGACAGGGGCTCCCCTTGCCCAGCCTGAACTCTCATGGGAGAGCAAAGACGCAATTCATCATCAACATGGTGGGAATTTTTTAATGAGCCATTTATTAAAGGCATATACGTACCAGACCTGCTAGAGCCACCAGCGTAGTCTGAACCTGCGTCATGTTTCCATTCTCAAAAAGATCATTTGCTTCAAATATGTCATGTGGCTTCATACCATAAGCCTGAATAGCTTTAATAAAGTTGCCAATATTCTCCAACTATAAAGAAAAAGAGTTATATAACTTTTGGAGCTAAATAGTGACATTCATATTATCTAAGAATTCTAAGTCCTCATGGCTAGATATAAGACTCTAGGCAGAAAGCTACTTGGCAAGAATTCTTGACCATATATACTAAGCATAGCTCTCTCTGAAAAAAAAGAAAGGAATAAAAAGAAACGTATTTCAGAATGGGTCACATAATGGTCTTTTTAAATATTTTTAAGCATTAAAGTTTTTTCATTTCCTCAAAGGCAAGATCTTCCTTACATGCTTTTAAGAATTCTGTGTCAGAGGTATCCAGGGCTAAAATTTTCTTTATCAAAGCCACATAATACATCAATAATTTATTGTTTTAATTTAAAAATAAATTTGTGGTTACTAAGTGGTTATTCTCTTATATCTCGAAATACAAAGTAAGACTAAATTGTCCAATTTTACTTAATCATACACATTCATGAACTAAGACTATGCTTAATACGGTGTTCTATAGTTAGCCATTAGTTATGTTAAATTCCTTGCTTTTCCCTCTTTTATCCTTATGGTCTGGATTGTATTTCTCTGTGTAAGCTATCCAATTCTCTTTTGAGATTAGATAGGCTAAATATAAAATTCTAGGTTAAACATCTATAGAACTAATTCCAAGGAATATGGAAACATTAAAAGTAACATGATAAAAAAATTGCCACGTGCACAAATTTCTGCTAAAAAGTCTATTTTAAAATGATAATCAAGTTTTCACTACATAAAGATCAACCAACTACAACAGGAGGTTGCTGGTTTGCCTGCACATTACCTGTGGCCAGTTTAACGAGGACTCGTTGACCTTCTTCACTGAGCCTGGCTGTAACTTGTTTATGAGTCTGAAAAGAAAAATGTGACACCTTACTTATTGGTCACACAAAAACAAGGACTGGAATGTAGAGTTGGTTCCTTTAACATCAGTAGAGGAAGCATTAAAAACATTTGCAGAATATCAAGGTTTGACAACACCCTGGACTAGGAAGGAGGTCAAGGCAGAAGCCTAGGGAAAGGACTAGAAGAACAAAAATGGTCAAATCAGGGCTGAAACTCACTCGCAGAGGATTATGCCATCTTTTAAGCCCAGCTGAAAGTTGGTGCCAATGCTCATGCCTGTCACTTCCTCTATCCAATTGCGAAGATCTTCTTCTGCCTGATGATCATACTTGGAAGCAATCTGAAACACAAGTTAAGTAACTTTGAGAATTTTCACAAAATCATCAGAAACTCCTGACTTACAACCTGCTCTGCCTTAATCATCTATTAAGACCACAGCTGTCACATGCAATAAATTACACTCACTGGCATTCACTGATGAACCTAACCCACGATAAAAGCTTCAATAACTAATAAAAATGTTTTTGGTTAAGTTAGTGGTGTATAAAATTTGAATAGCATGAGGAGAGAAGCTGAGACTGAGAAGGAGAAAATATGAATCAAGATAACACAGATTACCACTCATGACACACAGGAAGTGACAAGGGTTAATAAATAATATATTACAATATAGCACCAGCCACATTAAACTTTCAATATTAAGTCATTAATTACCACATTCCAAAAAAGAAGAGGTTGGTAGGATTCTGATACAAACAACTATTTTCTATAGTACCGCAACTGGTCAAGACATATCAGTCCAACAGTTTTATTGCCTGGAAAATTCTGGTGCTTCTATGCCGTCTATTGAGCCAGACACACACACACACACACACACACTCTCTCTCTCTCTTTCCCACAGGTGTTCTGTATGTTTTCTCTTGAGGTCATTAACCCAAGTTTCCAGTCTGCTCTCCTAAAGAAATCAAGAGAACAGAAGCCCTGTGCAGAGTGTCCAGATGGTGTTCATCTAACAGTGCTTCCTTCTCTCTCTCTCTCTCCCTCTCTCTCTCGCTCTCTCTCTCTCTCTCTCTCTCTCTCTCTCTCTCCCTCTCTCTCCCCCCTCACTATTAATTATTGTACAACTCTGTTTACGTAGCCTACATCCTATTAGACTCCTCACAGGAGTCACTTCCAGGCTCTTAGTACCTAGCACTGTATCTGACACCCAAACATTTAATAAAACTAAAAGAGTATTTATTAATTCTTACAGAATTCTACAATGAAGGCAACTTACCAACACAGATGCTATACTATTATAAATACTAAAACTACCAAAGGTTTTGAAAGATCCCTCCAAAATAAGACCATAAACTTTATTTTAAAAAAAAAGACAAAATTCATGCAAAATATTGTTAAAAATCACATGTTCAAGTCCTTAAGCTAGTCCTTGTCCTAGGATCCTTAAAGAGGCGCGTCCATCAGAGTTATTAAGAACACAGCTGGAAGGAAAGATCGCGTGTCATTTTCCTTCTCTTTAGCACAGGTGAAAATGTCAGCGTTAGGCAGACAGTGGAGATCATGATGCGTGTGGGAGTTAAACAGCGCTCTTGGAAATGGAAATGAACGTGCCAAGGCTTGCTTCCACAAAACACGATTTGGCTTAATTGCTGAAAGAAATTAAATGGGATGATGACACTTTTGTCACCATCCTTCAGGTTCTAGTCTACCCCAGTCAGCGCTCTCCCCTTCCACCACCAAGGGGGGAACGATTCCACTAATTACTGTATCATGTAGGGGGACAGCAGTCCTTGATCCTTAGCATTTTCCTCCCAAATTAGAGAAATGGCTCTACCCCTGTGACAGAATAATGAATAATTTATTTAGGTTGTAGATTTATTTAACCAAGATTACAAATGGAAATTCAATGAGTTTATATTGTTAACTATCAAAGTGCAATGTTCCTGGATCAAATTTTGGCCTAGAGGTTAGCATATAAAAGATAGTTTAGGTACAATGTAAAGCCAGTATCTAATGTATGATGATTTTCTGCCCCCCAGTATCCCCACCCCCTAAAAACCATACATCTCTTCTGGCTTCCTGCCAGTCTAGGTTCTACAGGCATCTGCATGTGGGAACAGGTAGGGAGGTGCTGGTGCTGGAAAGTTCTGCCACAGGGACACACTGGCCTCTATAAGTAGGAGGGAACCATTAACTCCTATTATACCTCTGATAAATGTTCTTAGATAATGCGTCTGCCAACATATCTATTCATATATGGCACCTTTAAAAAATGGAATAATAAGTTGTTGGATGAAAATTAACACTTGACTATATTTTCATGCTGGAGTCTTGTTATAGGTGGCTAGAAAAAAATTCTGTATAAATTTGCAGGGGTTAAGGGTGACCAGAGAAAAACAGGCAATGAAGAAAAGGAGAAATTAGTACTCCTTCAGCATGAGCTATGGAAAACAACCTCCAAGTTGAATTTTTTTGTAAAGTGAAAGCACTTTCAACTACAAGATACAGCTCAATAAATCTAAAGACAAAATTGATATGCTAGGGTGTGTGTGTGCCCTGGCTCTGAGCCTGGCTCTACCCACCTTGTTATGGGCCATTGGTTATTTCTTCTAACTTCTGATCCATTTCCTGTCTATACAACAGGAAAGCTGAATTCAATGACTGCACTGTCTAAACAATTTAATCAGCAAAAATGATAATAAAATTCTTTCTCTTCACTTTTTCCAGTGTAGAGATGGAAGTTACATTGGACGGCTTTTAGGTGTTTTGTAGGGTGGTGGGGGTAATTCTTAACCAAATGAGGCCAATTATTAAACCAAAAAAATATAAAAGCATATTTATGTTTCCTTTGTTCAAAATGTGTCTGAAAGATTCAACACCATGCCCCAAACCACAAAGTGATTACAGATCTAACTTGAAATATCCCAGTAGGAACTCCAGAGTCATCTTCTCTTTTGACTGTTCTCATCGAGGGAGTGATGAGAGAAAAATCAAGGCCTAAAGTCAGATGCACCTGAGTTCAAACCTGACCCTAGTTAGTTACAGGGCAGGGTTCTGGACAGCTGACTCTGTCTCTGAGACTTAATGTAGTAGCACACGCACCAAAAAAAGTATGAGCACATACATGCAAAGCTCAAGGCCCCAGGTGGTAAACTAAAAATGAAAACTAGGTATGCACCCACATTATGAGTCTGTTGGTTCTGACTTCGGGTTTTCCTACCCAAATATTGCTAATATTTTTTTTAAATAAGTGAGCTTCCTGCAGTTAAGCCAGCTAACTAGAATTCGAGATTTAGAAATGTGTACTTGTTAAAAAAAAAAAAGTTTAAAATGAAAAAAAATTTTCTATTATCTGGAGAACAAGTCATTTTCAAATTGTCTTAGCTCCTGGCCTGTAGCATTCTGTGGCACATGATGCAGCAATCTTAAGTGTTTCCTTTAGAGCAGGCTTCCCCAACCCCAGGTCCGTGGAGAGGTACCGGTCTGTGGCCTGTTAGGAACCAGGCCACAGCACAGAAGGTGAGCGTCCCGTGAGCGAGTGAAGCGCCATCTGTATTTGCAGCTGTTCCCCAGCACTAGCATCACCACCTCAGCTCTATCTAAGATCCTCAAGCATTAGATTCTCATAGGAGCACCTGTCCCTGGTGCCTAAAAGGTTGGGGACCGCTGCTTTAGAAGTATATCAGAATGCAGCCCAAGCAAATATGATTACATTCTCTAACTACAGGGGTTATTTTTGAGCTGTCTGATATATACCTTTTAAAATCAAGAGACTGGGGGCAATTAAACATAAAAAATAAGCTTTGGTAAGTCAAGTTTATTCAGTTTTCATCTAAAAAGCTTTGATTTCTGAACATCAAGCAGAAAATGATGACATTTTCTTCCTTGCAACAAGAAAGTTAGCTTAATCTTCTCATTAATACCTCATGGAAATTTTACTCTAATTTGTTTAAAAATTACTTTCCAAGTTGTTTCTAAACATCATTTTCTTTACTCTTTTTCAAGATTTATTTGACCTTCCCATGACTTCGAGTTTCTGACTGGTTTTTTCCAGTCCACAGCTGCCCCTTTCTCGCATGCCAAAGCCTCCCTTCCTAAACACCCAGACTCCTGCATGCGGGGCCTCCCCCTTTCTCACGGCAAGGAACACTTGCAAACAGTTCTACACAGAGAACACCTGCTGGAGGCTTCTCACCACAGCCCACCAGCATGCCCCTTGCCAAATGCAATCAAAAGGCAAAGAATACTGCCACTTGCGACAACAGGGATGCATCTTGAGTATCATGCTAAGTGAAACAAGACAGATGGAACAGGACAGGAACCATATGATTTCATTCATATGTGGATATAAAACAGAAAGCAAAACAAACTCATAGACACAGAGAACAATATGGTGGTTACCAGAGGGGAAGGAAGGGTGGGGGGAGGATGCAGAGGGTAAAGGGGTCAAATACATGGTGACTAGATTTTGGGTGGTGAGTACATGATGCGATATACAGATGATATATTACAGAACTAAACACCTGAAGCTTAATGATCTTGTTAACCAATGTTACCCCCCTCCCCCCAAATGCAATTATTTAAAAAGAGGCAAAGGAAATAAAGACCAAGAAAAAGGCCTCTGGGGCATGTGACACAGTCGATCATCCTTTCTTCAATGTCCACTATCGTGCTCCCACCCCCGGCATCTGCAGCAGCTGCTATGGCTCCGGCCTACCTCCCCTTGGGCTCAGGCCCGGGGTGGCTTCGACCTTTTGCTCTTCCCACGGCTCTCTCCTCAGAACGGCTCAGAGCACCAGTCTGGAGTCACCCTCAGGTTCAAAGGCAGCCCAATCCTTTCTAGCTAGTGACCTTCTTTTGGATTTCTAAAATAATACTTGTTTAAAAAAAAAAAAAGGTGAATGGTATAGAAGTACATAGAGCATGAATTCTCAGTGGAAGTGAAACTGACCCCCAGAAGGGTGAAAAGAACCTTAGACACTGCAATAATGTGTGACCTTTCCCAACAACTCTGTTCCTTTGTATTTAATTTCACAGGGGTCATGAGGCAATTAGGAAAAATGTCTACAAAGACTCTGGGCAAACGATGATGAAAATAGTTGAGAAACACTGAGACGGAGTAAAAAGAACAGGTCTCTCTTCCTTCTGCCCCCAAATCCTACTCCCTTCCCAGAGGTAAGCTCCTATCCGTTACAGTGAGTCATGTCTGAAACAGCACTAGAATAAGATCCTCTTTAAAGCTCAAGTCCCAGGGCCTGAACTTCCTGACAGGAAAGGGGGACCCTAGGTGAGATAAAAGCCTACTGGTTGTTAAGACAGAGCCATGCCCTTCCTGGCACTGAGCTCTGAGAAGTCTCCCTTGCAATCCCT